TTAGCTGAGAATTATAAAAAAAATAGCAAAAACAATTAATTGAAGTACATAACTACCGATTGTCGTGTTTTATTGGAATTTCGTACGCATACAATTTATGCTAGAGATTCTATTTGATAAAATACTTACCGCTAATATCCTAATCTGATAATAATTGTGTATGTTACATGTATTTATTAAAAAGTCATGCACAGAAAATACTAATTGTCATGTTCCAAATGAAATGTAAATTCTGTATGTTATTCATAATCTATACTAGTAAAAAATATCGTAGTACATGCAACTGAATAGCTGAGGTTTTAATTAAAAACTGGAACTGTACAGGTTTTTTGCAAATTTGTTTAAAAAAAGGAACACATATTTTTTTTTGCATATTACCTAATTCCAAATGCAATATAATGACATGGAGTTCATGAAGATTTTAATCTAGATAACGCTTAAGGGTTTGTTACCGCGGTGGTAAGTTGATGATTTCTCTTTGGGGAGAGCAACTTTATTACCGCAGCTCTAAGCAAAAACTATAAGATTACGACAATATTGATCACAATACATGCTTACATTTTAATTTTATTTTATTACTATAACTAGTGTACCCGTACGTTCTACTACTGTAACTTATACGAGTATTAGAACTTAGGGAGAGATTTTTAAAAATTATCAGGCGAGGTCGGGTATATAAATAAAGACCTCGCATGATAATTTTTAAACAAATGTTTAATTACATAAGATAAACATTTTGTTTACATAAATTTTAATTCATATTATACTTATTATTATTTTCCTTCATCATCATTATTGGTTTGTTACTTTTTAGTTTTCTCTCTTTTCCGCATATATCTACCTGTTCATTTTTCAATCCGTTTCCCTAAGGTTGCCTTGAAAAGATTGCTTTCAGCAATAAGGCCGCCTTATTGTAACTATACATGTTGTCCTTTAATATATTGTTTATGCCTTTTTCTTTACTGTGTGTTACAAATAAAATATATTCTATCTATCTATTTATTGTCATAACTCTGTAATGACACACATATATATTTTAACACACACATAAACACAGAGAAATATATATGAACATTACTTAAAAATTATTATTATAAGTTAGTTTCCAATGCATTATCACAGCACAATGTTTCACTTTATAATACATACTTGCCAACCCATTTCGCTTATACATTTTCCTTTTATTTATAAGGGGATATTGAGTGCAGTGAACAATAAATAAGTGACTACGGGCCCACGCACGTGAGTAGACAGAGGAGATTAGTACTGTGATTACGTGACGTCGACCCCTTCTGAGAGTTCAGCTTTCATTAATAAAGATTTATTGATGTAATGCATTCATTTATTACTTTCCTATGCGTATTCTTAATGTGCAACAAACTACAAAGTATGCGTATAATACTGTATTTGTTGTCTTGTTTACATTATATTTTAATCTGGAATAAATAAATGTAAGGGTAAGAAAATGTACCATATATAAATAAATAACACCTGAACAATAAACACAATGCCATCTAATCCCACGGCAAGCGTAGCTTGTGTTATGAGTACTAGACAACTGATATAAATACTTAGATTTTTTGTAAATACATTACACCACAGTAAACACCCAGACCTAAAAACATCATATTCATGAATAATTTGCAACGTGAGGAATCGAACTCACAACCATCGGAAGTGCATCTGCGAACATCTAAAATTTAACGGAATAAGTAATCTAAAATTTAAATTTTAAAATGTTAATAGTGTACCTACTGTCCAAAGTCCATATTCAACTAACTGCAGCAGTACCTCTTACTGATGCAGATAAAAACCGGTACAGTGTGTATCGGTTAAATGTTGGTCAGTGTACAAATTAACCCCTTTCATATGATACATAAGCCAGTCTAAATATTTTGAACCTCAATTTCCGACTCTATTCGCAAAGCTTTTAAATTTATTTTTCTTATGTATGAAACATTATCGTAACGTCTATTATAGTTAAACCAAAGATATCCAAAAGTAACGCAAAATCCGAGTTAATAGAAGTTTAAATTATTTCTTTAAAATAATGACATTTAGTTAATACGAACACTTCATTAAAGAACAAATCTTATAAGAAATAATCCATTTCGAATTTATTTACTACAGATATACACCCAGTTAATAACAATCGTAATGTTATTGGCCTATCTAAACCAGTAATCATTGTCACTAGCAGTTTGTCACTTTTCCATTTTCACGGTTTTATACTATTATTATATACCTGGCAATCTTGCTTGAAGACAATTTAACATGTCTCTGATAATGCCGCACGCCAACACATCAATGTGTCCAATTGCCATAAAAGCCGTAAAACGATCGCAAGCACGAGAACATCCCATGTTTTTCTAAAAGGTCCTGAGAGTATAATAAACTTAACGACACTGTTCTTGCGTCATATGGGATTACACGAATATTTCGTAACCAGCATCCTTTCTAGACATATTTCTGAAGATAAAACGACACTATTAAGACATATAATCCCATTATAAAGCTAGGAGCTAACAACCAATATGGTTTCATAGAGATTTTAAAGTCTTATCTTTAATTTTTAGATTATCAGGCATTATGAAAATAACATTTTCAGAAACAGGCGTTAATTATGATCCTAAGAGATTGTAATATATAGTACTATACTAACTATAAATATGACAGTATTTGTTAACACAATCTACTTTTATTTTACGATAATCAGATGCTTTTAGAACGACACTTGTTTACTTCACGCGACATAGCGTGATGATCCCATAATAATTATGTTGCAATTGAAATTGATTGAAAAGACATCATTTCATATTATCAGGTGATAAAATCACCTGATTCCAAAGATTGTTTTCTTTCAAATGTATATGTTTTGGTGTTATCGTATAGTATAATGAGTAAACACTGGGCTAAAATTGATAAAAAGGACATTTCGTTTTTTCAGTATAGTATAATAATATAAGATATATACGCTCCAAGCTTAAATCACACAGGTGTATGGTCATAGAAAACTTAATACTAAATACCCACATTCGATGTTGCAGGGGTCTATCAATATATATCGATAATTTTTAAAAGATTGATTAATAATCCATTGTATGTTGTTGTATTGTATATTATGTTTGTAGATAATAGTATAATGTAATATAATAAATGCAAAAGCGTGTGTGTCTGCCTGTCCGTCTTTCTTTTTGTTACATTTTCACAACTATATGATTTAATTTGATATGAATAATAATTATAAGTATTAGGATGGCGAATATAAGCTATCTTTTATGTAAAACTCGTCTAGAATAGGTTGAAATAGGGGATAAAAGATTGTACAGACGAAGTCACACGTAACATCTGACAATTTGTAAGGAGAGTTGCGTTGCAAGCTAGTATAAGAATAATAACATTTCTTTATTGGAACTAAAAAATCATAATTTTAAAGTAGGGTAATTTAACAATAAGTAATATCTAAGTTTCTATTTCTATTTCCAATTTCTATTTCCAATTTCGAACTTGCAACCACAGACTTAGTAAAGTCAGGGCAGTGAGTAAAAATGACAATAGATTAGTCCAGTGGTTACCAGTAAGCATTCTTACATAACCATTTTTTACATCCATGTCAGATTTACTTAAAGAAGAGTGGGTGCCGCAGAAGCGAGATAAACAACGCAAAAATGCACTATGACGAGCAAGATCCTCAGTTGATCTACTATTAGTCATTATGCGGAAATTACTTTTACCTAACATCAAGAATAAAAATCTATATTACCGAATTAAATATAAAATTTGGTGATGTTCATAAGAACAAATTAATATTTGTACATATAGATATGTACGAAAATGGTTCGATATTTGTATATATTATTATGTATATACAAATATCAAACCATTTTCGTACCTCTTCAGGATATAAATTTACAAAAATTCTTTCTTGTCTAAATTGTGTACAAAAAGTCTAAATAGAATAAGGCTTATATAGTTCTAATAGTTTCAACTCAGTCATGATGAGTTTGTCAGTCAAGACTTACTCTCTACATTAGGTGTAGATAGTACAAATAATAAACAATTGTTTGTAACCTTGGCCTAGATTACAAATAGATAAAAACAAGTCACACAATGTAAAATTATTACTTTTTGAAACATTTACACTGTGTACTAATGCAGTTTGAAAAGATACCACTTCATTTTTTACACATACTAAAAATTATATAATTTAATTTTTGTAGTGTACATCATAATTATTCAATCCGATTAAATATGTGCGGTTAATCAACTTTTAAAAATAAAATTCTCCTTGAATTTAGATTTCTTATAAGAAAAAAAACTGATGTCTATTTTTTAACTTATTGTAAATATTTGAATAGAATTACGAATATGAATTAATACATTTAAATCGTACAAATTTTAATGTTTTTATCAGTTCCAGTTTTTACAACACTACACAGAAAATGTTATGTATATAAATATTTATGTAAGTCATAATTATTTACTGTGATTGAATTGACCATTTGGTTTTGACATTTTAATATGAAAAGTATTTTAAATTAATGTTTCTTTTATAATTGTTTTATATTATTGGAAGAATTAAATATATATAATACTTGTTCTGAGTTTACTGACTGTAAACTCCAAAACTGCACAATTTTATTATTATAATTATATTAATATATTTATATATATATATATAAATATAAATTTTAAAGCAATAATTAAAACATTTTATAATTACACCTTTTCTGAAAGGAGTGACTCATTGACTCAATTATCATGTAGATACATAATGACTACCATAACATAACATTTGTCTCATGTAGTAACACTCCAATTACAATCTCGATGTCCAACACAGAACATTCCAAATCAAATTCAGTTGTTGAATTGTTGAATATATGTATTACTCCCATTCTACATCAAGTAAAATCAAAACCTTAATCCTGATTCATACACATTCAATGTAACACAGATGTTGTTAAAACAATCTTTAAATTAACTAATAATAAGTTTACCTGCTAGTGTGAATCTGTCCATATAATTGATGAGATTGACAAAACACAGCACTCCGACAGTCATGTATTCAATGAAAGTAACATCTCTCAGTGTTTCTCTTCTCCTAGTTTGCTTCTCCTGAAGCAACGTGGTAGCGGAATCATTATCACCATTTATCTCCAACTCTGGATTGGAGGTATTTGGAGTTATGCTACTTTGGTCCATTATGCACTCAGTAAAGTCCTAAGATAATAAATTACAGTAACACTTTCAAACAATTTGGTCTTCAGATTATTACTAAAATGCGACAGTCACACGCGATATTACCCTCAAAATAAAATAAAATAAATATAAATACAGTAATATTGGGTGTCCATTAGACCGAGTAGGCGCATAAGTATCATGTATGTATAGAAATCAAAGAGCAATAGATAAAATGCTTAAGTATTGAAGTTCAAAAATCATGATTATCACATCGAAGTAAGAAAGTTAACGTTCGTCACAATCAGATTACAGACAGGCAACTGACAACGCAACAAAACAGTGCACAACCGACCATGACGTTGACGTAATAATTTTGAATTTTTGACTTGACACAACCAATAACCATAGACTTTTTTTTCTCATATTCGTCCATCTCCTTTTCAGTGATGGAACAGGCAAAGACCCTTAGACCGTACAGCCTAGTCTACTTTTAAACTTCTTCATATTTGAACAAGTGATGTCGTCCACTCAACTTTTACTCTTTTTTTAATGAACAGGCAAAAGTCCTGAGACCATACAGCTAATCCTAGTTTTAAAGATTAACCATAGGGTAGCTATCATGTTATTTTTTTTCATGTGCTGATTTCCACAAGACTTGTAGTTTTACCGATAAACGAGAAAAATCATTTATTATCTTTAAAATTTGATTTAATCTAATAATAGTCAGTCGTATTTACAATATGCCACTATTATTACACACTATTTGTGCAGTTAACGTGTCAGTTGTATATAATTCGGTATCTATATAATCTATGCGTATTAAATGTTTATCGTACTTTATCACAGCCAAAAATAAGATTTCTAAATATAAGGTGTATTGAATGTACGTAGAATACTGTATTCTACGTAAATAGACATATATTGTAAAACAGTTTAGAGCATTAGATAAGGTTGGACTCAAATGGACTGTTATCCAAATATCGTTATAAAACATAATAAAAAAAAAATGGAAACAACTGGCGTCAGCTGTCATTCCTTGCCGTTGTCAAAGGATTGCAAGAGAGTAAACCCTTGTCCACAATAGTCCACATATACGTTTTACTCGTTTTTACATTCTCACTCAAATAAAACATTAGTAAATTAAAAATATTTGAATGTAATTACAACAATATTAAAATATCGAAGGAATTTAGTACTGCATAATAACGAATCATTATATACTTTATAGATAATAATAATGAAGTCGGGAAAAGTATGTATAATATTATTTGTCATTTTTCACTGTAGTTTTGCAAAAAAATATCAAAAAGAAGATAAACCTGAATGGGCCAAAAAGGATATAAGAGATTACTCAGATGCTGATATGGAACGGTAAGGCTGTGATATATTTTTTTTAATTATACACTTATTTGAAAACTTGCAAGTTAACTATTAATAGAATTATTACTCATATTGAAATTGAAAATGTATATTTTTAGTTTACTTGATCAATGGGAAGAAGATGAAGAACCGCTACCAGAAGATGAGCTTCCTGAACACCTGCGGAAGCCTCCACATATAGATCTAACACAGATGGATATGTCTAACCCTGAATCAGTGTTACAAGCTACTAAAAAAGGCCAAACATTAATGATGTTTGTAACTGTTGCTAATAAACCTTCCAGAGCTAGAACTGAGGAGTTGACAAAAATCTGGCAAGCTGGTCTATGGAGTAACCATATACAAGCAGAAAGGTATCAACTTTAATATTATGTACATACATATTTGCTAATGAATTTCGTATAATAGTTAATTATATGTATTATAGCTGGTAGCGACAGAATGTTGTTAATGATGAAAATAAAAAAATAGCCAATCTCCAGAATATTGTTGTCACAAGCTTAATAGTAAAAAAAGAAGTCAAATATTGTGTATAAAACAAATCTCAAGTATAAGTAACAATATTTTATAGTCTTTGCATGTGTTGGTCTATGGTTTCCAAATAAAGTTGAATTGTTCATACATTGCTTATGCAAGACTAGATTTTTTCTTTAATCATGGTAACTAGATGATAATTATTATTATTTATCCGTTAAGAATTAATTTATCTGTTTAAGCTACAAAATATGACTTACTGGTCCACATAACATAGTAAATAAGCCTGATATATTTTTTATACTGTATTACTACAAAATTTAATTGGAATTGTCTTATTTAATAATACTGTTAATATTTATTACAGGTATTTGATTGATGATGATAGAGCTATATTTATGTTCAAAGATGGCTCACAAGCGTGGACAGCTAAAGAATATTTCCTAGAGCAAGATGAATTGAAAGATGTTCAGTTAGAGAGTCAAACATATACAGGGAAAAAGTCTGATGTTAGAAATAAAGCTGTAAGGGATGAATTATAGATCTGAGTTACTAATGTATCTGCCTATTTATTTAATAACTAAAGTTAAGAATAAGTTGAATATTAAACAAATTATATAATATATATATTAAAACCTTATTGTTTATTACAATAAGTATACTTTTGTGTAGAATACATATAACCAATTCTTCATATTTTATAGGCTACCCTCATACTTTAAGGCTATTATAACACAGTAATTCACAATGTGCAACCCATATGTTGAATTCATGGAATGAAGAAGTTTCCCTCTAAAGTTACCACACCATATTCAGCCAAGAACTTTTTATGAATCTACAATTTCTTTTTTTTATCTAAATTGATGTTGGGGTTTTTGTTGAATCTACAATGATATTCCGTAGACTCAAATGTTGTACAATTTTAGATAAGACTGTATATGAATAATAAATTTAAACTACCAAGGATGGATACATAAATATATTTAGGTATAAGTAGCTTCTACTATAAATGATTATAATAGTTAAATTTGTATGAATAGAAGCTTTTACTTAGTTAAGTGAACAAATTATTTTCACATTCAAACTGTGTAACATGTTTATGTGAATACAATTTCAATTGTTTGCTTTTAAAAAGCATCAGTGGCGCGGAAATGTTCTTCATCAATTGTAGAATAAATATGGCCTTCACCGCACATCCAGTCCAGTATTTGTCTAAAATTATAAGGTAGATTAAAAAAATGCATTACTACATAATTAATGAATCTGTATGTTGCAATAAATTACCCCATCTGGGATAAAATAAAGTACTACTAATGTTTGGTTATTTTAGAGTTAAACAACAGTAAAAAAAATAAATATCATAAAAGATATGCAACACCTATTCTATTATATTTATAGTAACTATTTCACTGTGGGCAGGTAAAAAAAATTTGATAGCAAATTGTGATATTGTATTGTATTGATAGTTTCTGGGACTAGTTTTTAATGAAAATAATTTATTCAAGTTATAAGCAATAATACTAACTCAAACTCAGTTTTGGACATGCGGTCCTTCAATGTTGAATACATGTCATCTTTGCTTATTCCTTGCTCTAAAGTAGATACACGTATCAGATTGAAAACCATCATTTGTCTCGCATTCAACCCATTTACAGACTGGTTATTATCAGTGATTCCCAACATTGAATTTGCTGGCAGTCCCGAAGGTACATTGTTGCTGACAATTTTTTCCTGTATAAAAATAACATATACAGTTATAATATAATAAACCCTTAGAAATTCATGTTATTAAGTCAATTCTTGAAAAGTCATTTACATAGATAATGATTTCATTCAAAATTAAGAATAATTACATGTAAGATACAAATAATGAAATAAATTATAAGTACCTCTATATTATTATAGTCAGTTGTTATAAGAAAAATATACATGATCTGTTCAGTGAATTGAGAAAAACAAATATTTTAGATGTTTAGTTTTTGTATTGACTTGTTTAGGTAAACTATTCCTATAGTCATTAATTTATTTTTAATCTTTATAATTATTTTAGATGTTCAATACATCTAAAACGAATAAAAAAAAAATTAAAATTATTATAGATATAACATTATAAAGATATGTTATAAAATCAGACTAGGTAACTTTAACATACCTTCTTTGAATCAGCTTCCATTTTAACTTTATTGTTAATACATTGCAAATAATGGAATGTAATTTCATTTACATCATTTATTGGAATGATTTTGAATGCCATCAAGACTTTCTTCCCTTTGTTGGTTTTCACATTTCCAAAAATTTGTACATAATCATTTACTTGAACATTTGGTGCTGTTTTATCCTAAACAAAAAAAATGGAAACTGTAGAAATTATTAATCTACCCTGAGAAAATAAAAACCATGGTTCGTAAGAATATCCTTCAAATTTAGTTCCTGACGGAAGCAAAATCGGCAAAGGCAAGGGCAAAGCAAAGGTAGCAAAATCTGAAAATGAGTGAGCACAATAGATCTATGTAGGTTGCAGTGTTACAGGTCCAAGCACCTTACAATAGCCCAAACTACCCACTAAAAAAAATTGTAAATAAAATTAAAAATAATAATAGTACATCTTCATCCATGGCATCTTGGTCTAACCAAAGAACTGCTCTCATCCTTCCAGTTATATCCTGAATTGTATATGTAATTTTGGTACTTTGTGTTCTAATATTTTTTAGTCGAGCTACTACTGAGATAATTTGTATCTCAGTGCCCCAGATCTTTACCCCATCATCACCACAATGTAAAGCTTGTCTTATGACAATAGGTGCAGTACGAGAAGTTCTTCGACCCTGAAACATACAAAAGTTGCCATATAAAATGCTATTTTATGACTGAAATACCATGCAACATCAAAACATTATGATTGCATCTATTATAATTTAGGTAACAATACAGTGAAGTTTGTTAGTAATTGGAATTAGTTACCCCATGGAAACCATTCTGGGTTAACTGACCATGATGAACCAACTGACTTTACAATCAGCCTATAATACTTCACTGATGGGACAGCATACTGTATCCATCCATAAAAAAAAACAGAGAAAGTAAAGTGAGTGCATGGAAGCATGTTTGACCTTATCAATCCTGGTTAACAAGTTCAAAGTTAAGTTTCTAGTTATATACCTATGTATAATAAAAATATAACTGATTGTTGCCAGTAGGAAAGATTTATGAGAAAAATTATTATTGAGGGACTTTATCAACATAATAGAACAAATACTGTTACAATAATTGTTAGAATTTTGTCTGTTTATGTGTTTGTGTTATTCTCATTACAATAACAGCCTAACTGATTTTTGTAAAGTTATTATAATGTCGAGCTACACTTAAAATGTTTTTTTTGTTCATATCGATTTACAAACAAAAACTTTAAAGGGTACAAAGCATAATAATAACGATAGCTGAAGCGTTATATGCCCTGTCGCATAGCGAGGGTAACAATTCATATTTTAGCACGAATATAAATTGAAGGCAAATTTATAAAGCCAGCCTCTCTTAATCACTAACATGTTATCACAATCTATTGTTTTGTGCATACTATCTGTATACCCTTATCGGTACCCATATTTAAGAGGATTTACTGTCTGTCACCCACGATACGCTATAATGCAAAAGGGCGCCAACGTACAGTTTTTTGTGCTTGATTAGGGGTCACCGCATTTCCAAATTGATTAGGGGAATTAAAAAATCCTCCACCAGCCACAGATTGATCTGAAAGCAATATCAAGTGGGATTAAAAATGACATTACGAAATTTTAAAATGCAAATAATGTCTTAATTATAAACTAATATTTCCTTACCATTCCACATTTTGATTTAGAAAAGGGAAATGAATTATAATATAAAAGTCTCCTTATATGACTATTTAAATATTTATTGTGTTAAAACAACTTATAATATTGACTTAAAGAAAAAAACAAAATAAATTAACTTGGGTTATTTGGTACCGGCACAAGTGTTGTTCGAATTTGACATTACATTACCTATGTTGCCAAGTAATTGCGATATTTAAATAGTGTTGAGACATAATAACAAATTAATATTAATTAGCGATTTATATCAATACACACATATTATATGTGGGTATTCATTTGACACCCATCAATGCAGAATGAATGAAGTATAAGTATTAATAAAGATAGTGGTGTAATAAAGTAGATTTTTACTGAAATATATTTTACTAAAACAACAATAAAAAACAGACTTTAAGTCTTTCTAATCTGTGGTGGTGGTGACAGACTACTCATAACTCGCAGCGTTACAGAAACTACATTTTACAGTTTTGTTATGAAATCTTATTGATAGTTTGAAAGTTTTAACAAGGAATAATACACTACTGAAGCACAATATATATCTAGCTTTCTAATAATGTCATTGCAATAATGGCAAGCAGAAACATTCATACGGGCAAATATTATGTAAATTTTAAACGTGGTTTTGAAGATTATAAAAAAGATATTACAGTAACAATAGATAAAGTTTTTAGCAACGATAGTTTGGTTAGTATCCATCGTCATATATGTATTACTATGTTTATGTGTGATATTCTTAAAAAATCTAATATTGCATTAGATTTTTTAAGAATATCACACATAAATTTAGTTATATCATAGTTTTAGAATATATCGTAATAATATTATAAACTACTGAACGAGTATATAAACTACGGAGTTTGATGAAAGTTTACAGTAATGTAGCTTATGCATCAGAATAACATATAAAATTTTTTATTGAAATTTATACATTGAAAATTAACGCCGATTAAACTGCGGGCACAACTAGTATTGTATAAGGTAGACTACAAAATTAACTGTATCTGTATTGTTTTATGTTTGAGGCTATAATATGTGACGGTAAATTTAAAAGTATAGTGTTAATAGTATTGAATTCATATTGAAGATTAAATTTAGTCTTAAAAAATAATATCCCAGTAATATCCAACATTCTATAACTCATTAATAAACTTATATGTACAGAGTGTGCTAAAGTATACAGTTAGCAAGTGCAGCTAATGGTACCCATTAATAAAATCTTTCAGAAAATATCCTTGGCAGATGACAATGATCCCACTTTTGTGTATTTTAAATATAACACCATGTGATTATGAAGATTTGAAAAAACAACAAGGACTTCTTATTGATTTTGATAACTTCTCATCTCAGCTTGTTAGATTACTCCAACAATGTGCATCAAACAACATGTAAGGGAAAATTGTTATTTAAAATATGGTAAACTGATTATACACAGGTTTATGTTCGCATATTCATGCTTATAGTTTTAGGGTTTATCCTAAATAGCTTTAGATTTATCTTGAATTCATGGTCACATTTTGCAGTGCTATTGAGATTGTTTCCTGTGAAAGCTTGAGTAAAAAAAATAAAAAATTGTTAATTTTTAAGTACAATAAATATTACAATATATTAATTTATTTAATTACTTGCCATTATATCATATAAGTTACAAGAATTTAGTCTGCATTAAAAATATCTTGATAATATTTTGACTGTATTTAACTTATATATAATAAATCAATCAAACATTATAAAAGCATAATTTTAGACATTATTATAGGTTTGGTCAATTACACTTGTTCTATTGAACCATATATTTGACATACAGTTTTTAGTACAAACATGATATTTATTAAAGTAAAAATTATGTTTTTAGGTTTCTTATAATGCAGCAAACAAATCCTGTGCAATATTACTTTGAAATTATTGAGCACAATGAATTTAAACGCCTGGTTCACTTATCTCTAAGAACTGGGCCCGCTACAGATGCTGATATAAAACAACATATGGCTGATACTATAACAAATTTGAAAGTAAGCAACCAAACCTATGCTGGTTTTAGTTATTTGGGTAGTTGATTGAGATTTACTACAACATCTTTTATATGTCTAATTATCTGCTTTCAATTCTTGATAGTACTTGTTTGCACCCATTACCTAAATGTAACATTTATAATTGAAACACTTATACTTTAATAAATTTTTAATATATAATATAATTATAATTAATTAATTTATATTTTTAATAGAAAATGTTGGCAACAGTTAAAAGTTCAGCTGCTTCCAGTGATGCTAGATGGAATGACAAATGTTTGAATTTGGAACGAAAAATACAAGATTTAACACATGTAGTTCTAAAATGGAGGAGGACAAACATAAACTGGTAGCTGAATATCAGGATGAATTAAAGCATGAAAAGGAAAAGTTGACACAGGTTTGCCTTCATTAGACTTGAGTTACTATCCAAATTAGTTATTAAGGTATTTAGCTCTTTGAGCATATTAAAGTAATTAGTGAAAATTTTGTACCAATTTGTATACTGTAAAAATAGTCGCAAATATTTTCTTCTATCTGATTGTTGTCCCATCACAGAAAAACAACTATAAAGTCTCCATTGTAAATGGTGTTCTATAAGTCTTAATAATACAAGTTACATTATAGATACATTTATATAGAGAGTTTGAGTATTATATAATATAAATAAAATTATACCCACAGGAGAGGTCTCAATGGCAGAAGACGACTGAAAATACGTCAAAAGTACAACTTGCATCATTTCAAGAAAATATTAATAGAAAGGATCGACAGATTGATGAACTGAATGTATTGTCTAGACAATTGAAAGAAAATATCGCACAATTAGAAAACCAGATTAGGTATATTTTGCTTATTATTTAAATAAATTTTGATCCACATCTTTAGAAGTAATATTATTATTTGCATGATCTTTCATTGTTTTTCTAAGGACTTACCATATCAACTATGACTGGTTAACAATGTAACATCTCATACACTATTGAGTAATATTTCGTAGTTGCATATAGTCTAGAATTTGGATGTATATTCAAACATAATAGTACAGAACTAGGTTCCCCCAAAAGTCTTCCAAAAGTATCAGGACCATATAATAAAATTGCGCGTCATGAAGTTGCTGACCTAAATTTGTTTACTTCCACAATATCAAGATATACCTTGACAACTTCAAAGAATAGAGGCAATATAATATAATTCTTAATGTTTTTTTCACTACAGAATATCATACACATGCTCTGACTCTACATATTTTACAGTGAATTTTAATTGAGATATATTTGCCTCTTAGTGTAAGTATATGATGCAATAAAATTCAAGAATATATTCTGACTTGTAGTGATAAATCGCAACGTCTAATGATGCTAGAAAATGAAGTGCAGAAGACACATATAGAAGTAGCATTACATTGAAAGCAAAAAATACAACACTTGAAAGAGAAATTGCAGAGAAAGAGAAGCAGTTTAATCAAGTAAATACCAGATGTATTTCATTAGAACAGGTATACACCATGTACATTTTCAGACTGCAGAATTTTTTATGACTGCAGGATATATATTTATTACAAATTTTCATATTGCATCATTTCCTTTTTACAGTTTGCTAAGGATAATTCAGACATGATTAAGGATTTGAATAAATCTATACAAAGTATGAAAAAAGAAAAGGTAATTATAAAAAAATTCAATAATACTTCTAGAATTAAAAATAATAATATATATGGGTTGTCCTTGATATTGTTGTCAATATATATTTGCTATTGTGCAGACCATATAGTCTGCACATATAGTGCTAGGATAGTTATTTTCAGAATCAAGGCAACACCAACATATAAATATGTTCCATTTTTAATGTACAAATAGGTTCAGTTTAAAAATACACTAGTGTATTTTTGCATTTTGCATATTTTGCTTATGTCTACAAATATATAAGTATATAAGCAAAATGTTGAAATAAAACTCTATTATAAAAATATAACAAAAAAAAAAATGCCGATTCTTCATTTTCAGTCTAACCAATACATGTTGTATTTTTTTTTACAGATAAGCTTAGAAGAGCTTCTGGCAATAAGCGAGTCTTTAGTCAATAAGAACAATAATGCAGCGCATTCTGCATCAGAACAACTCATGAAAGCTAATCAAATAATATCAAAACAAAATGCAGAGCTCATTGAAATAAGAGAGAAGGTACTGTTTTTTATAGTTTATAATTTAATTAAATTTTATCATTTATTTGTACAATAAGTGTTTGTAAGTGCATAATAAATAAATATGTTTTACAGTTGCTATGCAGAACTGCTATAGCATTGGAACAAGAGAAAGTTATAGAATCTAGTAATAAAGAAATAAACGATTTGAAATTGGAAATACAGAAAACAAATAAAAATATGGATAAGCTTAATGAAGAATTAAGTCATTTAAAAGAGACATGTGAGGATAATGAGAAAGCACTGAAGGATCGTGACGAAACCATTAAAAATAACAATATGGGTAATTTCAACTGTATTCATAGAAATGGTCTCTACAGAAAATAAACATAATTTGTAGAATTATATGCTTCTTCTTCTAACATACTTAGTGGTGCTGACCATCATTTACAATTCTTTTTTTCTCTGTCATACAATGGCTACATAGAAAAGTTGAGGGATGTGATTCAGGCAATGTCCTGGAAAATACACAAAAGTATGGCGTGCAGAGTGTAACTAATTCTACACCTTACTTTCTGCCTAGCAATATTAACAAAACAAACTCACAAAATGTATCCGATCAGTCAATTGACTTTTATGCAACTTCAAAATTGTAACAAATATATAAAAATACCAATAAATTTAAATCTAGTCAAGATTAATATTTTTTGTTTATTAATCATACTGTTTATTTTATTGTTTGAAAAAAAAAAAACAAATTCGTGGATCATTGAAATTTAATCTAATATTATTAAACTGTTATTACATTTTTAGGTCAAACGTGGAAGATAGCCCAGGTCCCTTGCAAGATTCACATACACCGAAATTAGGCCTAGACCCAAAATATTTAAGGCCTGCTGGCAATAACAATAGGTTAAATGAAGGTATTTATGCAATAAAATAAAACAGACGGTTGTAACAAAAAAGATGCAAATTTATAATTTGATGTGGACACTGTGTGTCCAACAGATAGGCCATATAAGCTATGCACACTGATCAAAATTACTTATCGCCTATAGACATGAACAACTTGCTTGTTTACCACGTCATAGTATAAAAACAACAACTATCTATCTGCTTGGGGTATATATGTATATATATATACGGGGTATAATTCATTCATACATTGTTCTTTCTGAGAAGGTTAAAGTTGTTACATTTTCATAACTTGTAATTACACACCTTTCAAACCTGACATATCTTGCAAAGCACGCTACTTGGCCAGGAATATACCAGATTAGTATTCTGGCGCCTTATTACAGTTTTATTCACCTCGTATTTTATTTACAGATAGTAAAACGCCTAAACCAAGTGAAGCTGAACGAAAGTCTGGGAAAGAAAATAAGACTAATATTTTACCTAAAGTTGATTATCGCGAAAAGAAAATGGTAGAAGTACATATATTTTTTAGTGTCTGCTTATTTTCATTGAACATAATATTTACAATATATAATAAAAATAAATTTTTCATAACTTATTTTGTAATGTAACTGTAACGAAATACGAAAATCCTATATAATGTACAAAATGTTCAAATCGAATTATCAGGAACATATTCGACGGAAGTTCGTACAAGTCTCATAACCATAGCTCGACCATAAACAATGTACATGTTATGTTCTCTTCGACAGTCCGTTTCCATAAATCAGTTTTATACTGCACCAAATTTATCGTCTGTAGGTCTACCACGAAGTGCAATTCCGAAATTTCGGATCGATATTTCGTGTGATTCGTACCATGAAAAACGTTCATTCCGAAATCGTGCCCGAAAACGGAGAATATCGTTTCGATCGTCCCAAATCGTACCATGAAGTATCCGTTCGTACGTGATTATGACGTTTTGACAGCACGTTTATCGTGATTTAAAGTGCGAAGTAGACGAAACTTAAATAGTTAACTTTTACTTTCGTAAGTATGGATTTTACGTATATAAGTGCTGTAATATATAAAAAAGTGATTAATTAATAATTCAGTTAATGTGTTACAGTGAATAATGTGATAAAAGTTAAACTAATTAGTGTTTTTAAATATTATTGTGTTCAATATAACCTACAACTTAGCATTACTTTATTTTGATTAGTTTCATTATGCCAAGATTGGCTGGAATTTTAGAAGCCCTCAATGAAGAAGAAATTGAAAGACGCAGGTTTAAAAGAAAAATGCGTACTAGGTACCTCCAAAGATCCATTCCCGACTTCGAGTTTGTATCTAAATACAGACTCAGTCGGGAAATTTTCTTTGTCAGTATGTGACGATTATTACCCCTGCCTAAAAATCGATCCAATAACCAAAGTAAGATCTTATGTACATTTTGTAGATGAAAAAATTTAGTATTTACCTATTATTTAGTATTCCCATATCTATTTTTTTTTCAGATTCTCACTGCATTAAATTTTTATGCCAGTGGTAGCTACCAGGGTGCAGTCGGACAAAATTTAGACACCACTATGGCTCAGCAGTCTGTCTCAAACTGCATCAGGGATGTAACAGATGCCTAAATACACCCTATATACTAAGGAAATATATAAGATTTCCTCAGTCCAGGGAAGACAGGAACATATTGAAGAGAAAGTAAGTTTATGTATATTAAATATGATTAAGATTTAACTTTATAGAATTTTATGCTCTTTGTCGATTTATAATACATATACTATTAATTTAGTTCAGCTTCATTCAACTATTTGTAGCTGTAAATTTATAAATGATATTGTTGTTAATTTCAGGAATCAGCATAAGTTAATTGATGTTTAAATAATCAGTAGTTTATATTTCTTTTTCAGTTTTGCTACACAGTATGGTATCCCTGGTGTTATAGGATGTATCGACAGCACCCATGTAGCTATAATTCGGCCAACAGTCAATGAAGAGAGATTTTTCAATAGAAAACATTACCACTCTTTAAATGTTCAAGTTGTAAGTACAGTATTTTATGTAAAATTTGCATAGTGTATAAATAATTCTCAAGTTATTCATATTTGTCACTATCTGCAAATATCTTTATAATGTTTGTCCTATTTTTTAGATTGCTGACAGTAATTTAAAAATTATGAATATTGACGCCTCTTATGGTGGTGCCACTCATGATGCATTCATTTGGGAGCATAACGAGATCAAAGATCATTTGGAGAGTCTTCAAGGAGAAACAACTTATTCGCTGGGTAAATAAATCGTAATTGTTAACTTTGTAGTTGTACTACATATAAAATTGGTGAACAAACAAGAATACAATGTTTTGTCATTCCTTTTCATTATTAGGATGTCATAAAAGATGATTATAGATTGTATTTCAGTATTTTTTATGTTAAATATTATTAGCTGATATTATATTGAATAGTCTATAAGCTATCAAGTGCATTTATCAAATTCCAAGTCTCACAGTTAAGTATGTTTTCTTTTCTTTCAGGTATATAAAGATTAGAAGAGAGCCATACGTTCTATTTATGGTATGGGTTCGAGATAGTCATTATATCAAGGCTTTAAAGAATCAAATAGCCTCACCGTTGCCTCACAGTACATTTATGAAATATTATGTATACAAGGAAAAACTTAGATAGTTTCAAGAAACTTAAAGACTGTACAAGTAGAAACTTATGCAATAAAAATATACTAATTTTACCTAAATGCTGTTAAAATTGATATTAAACAAATGTTATGTAAAAAAGCCTATTATAGGATAGATGAATTCATAGATGACAGCAATATAATAAGTTTATTTGAATAAATGATTTTCTATTCTATTCTATTAGAAGTTAAGGCATTACTTATTTACAAAATTAAAAACTTTTTACAATAAAATATTTTTATTTTATAATCACATATATGTAGGTATATATATATATATAAATAAAAGTAAAATCAAAATTGTATATTAAACATTTTTTAAAATAACACTAACTATAAATGATTAAACATTCATTCAGAAAAATGTTGTATAAGTATATGCAAACTAAGTAGTGTAGTTCAAGGCGCATTAAATTAATGACCAGTAAAAAACAGTTTATATTTTGACTTTGTTAATACTTATATAAAGCTAAGTAACATTTTTATACTCATTATTTAACAAATCAACAAACTAACATAATTCAACAAATCAACAATGATATATATAAAGCTAAGTAACTTTTTTATACTCATTATTTAACAAATCAACAAACTAACAGAATTCAACAAATCAACAATGATATATCTAAAGCTAACTAACTTTTTTATACTCATTATTTAATAAATCAACAAACTAACATAATTCAACAAATCAACAATGATATATCTAAAGCTAAGTAACTTTTTTTATACTCATTATTTAACAAATCAACAAACTAACACATCTACATTAATCATGTCAAATTAAAAAAAAAAACAAAATTTCATCTATTCAGTCGTCTTAATTCTATTTGTAGACCATCCAATCGATCCCTTATTAATACATTTAATTCCTGGAGTGATTGGCAATCATAATGACTCTATAGAACTATCCTCCGCTGCGATTCGCCGCTCCTCCATTTTGAACAAACGCCTGCGTACACTGCGAGGTCCAATGGCGTCTGCTCGACGGCGTCGTCGCTCTGGACGTGTAGTAGCCGTTGAAGTTCTAAAAATAGAGTTTTTTAAAATAATTATTATCATTATTGTTTTCGGTATGCATGATTGGTACTAATACCAGACTTGATGTCTAGGAATATACTAGTGATTAGGACTATAAGCCCCCATTACTAATAATCTTAATATTTACAGAAATATTTTCATATAACAATAATTTATTATGATATAAATTTTTTAATCAATAATAAGGTATAAGTAAGTGTTATTTATTAGTACTGTCTTATCTTTACTAGAAGTTAACATTGAAAAACTGTGTATATATAAAAAGGTACCAACTCTGTCTCAACTCATATTTCTGCTATGAAGCAGCTGTTCTTGCATAGCTGTATTTCAGTTTGAAAGGTGGGAAAAGGCTATTTAGGTACCTTATATACAGAAATAAAAGGAATGGTAATGCATGAGGAATACTATGGAAGTCACCATGTATTTTGATGACATCCATTATGTTATATATGTCTAGAGATAACAGTTAGCACTATTTTAGTAATGGTTTTACAACATACCTCTGGAAATGCAGAAACATGTGCATCCGACTGAGGTTCTCCAAAGCCCTCTCCCATAATACCCAATATTCTGCACTGTATTGGGTTTAAAGGATCAGCCGATGATGGCCCTACCCCAGTGGCTGTGGCAGACCTTCGAGCAGCAGTAGCAGCTTTTTTAGTTAGATATTTTTTGTCAGCCCATACCTAAAATTTATAAAGTATCAGTATTGGAAAATTTTATTTAATAACAAAATTATTTAACATTTTAAATGCATATCACGTACTAAAATATCAAGAAAAGTGCTTACCTTCTGCCACTGCTTTACAGTTTTAGTGCATCCACCCAATGCATTGAGTTCGTCTGTGAGACGAACCCATAATTGGGTGGATCTTGTTCGCCCTTCTGCATTTCTACAGTGGCCACGAGCTAACTCCTGGTGCTTTGCTAGGAATGTTAGGAGTGTATGCACTTGTTCCACAGTGGGATTACTCATCTAAATGCATAAATACATTTGTTAGCGCTTGTCATAAATAGAAACTAATAAATAAAATCAAAGTTATTACATGTTCATTTTCATTGATGTTTAACGAACAAATTTAGCAATAAAAAATTATTTAAAAACACTTGTGATGATAATTCTTAAGTTTATATATAAAAAAATAAAAACAAAAATATTTGTAATACGCAGTAACGTTATTTTCAAATATAAATAGAGGTTTGACGTTTTCTTATGACATAAAATACTACTAATTTTAGAAGTTTATAATTTCAATACATTTAAATATAAACGACTGTACATTTTATTTTATCCGGAGTATACTACTTTATTTTTTTCCTAATTTAAGAGTGTATAATAAAAGACCTCTCATCTTTCATTCGTTCACGATCATAGTCTATGGTACCCGTCCGAAATATCTTATTCCGAAGAAACTTCATGGTTCCTTTAAACTAGTATTTCGTTCGTCTTTCGTTTCGTTACGCGATAATCGGCAGTAACTTTCGTGGTAGACCTACTGGATCTATCCGCAAACCGCAAACGTCCGAGTTTTAACAGATTTTTTGTAATAAGACCGAGTCGGTCTTATTACAAAAAATCTGTTAAAACTCGGACGAAACGTGGTCTAAATGGTCGTGGTTTAAACCATTCCTAATGTTAATACTTGGAATAAACCTAACATTATTACGAATCCAGTGGGCTAATTATGTAACTTCGTTCGCAACGATTTTCGTATGTAACGTAGTGAAAATGACGTCATCTGTCAATAATGCGATCATATAGACGCCATTTGACGCTGTCAACTAGCATTGCAACGTAAACGCAACTTTACATATCGATAAAAATTATTTCTATCGAATGTCGATTTAGTAACCTCGTTGCAACGTCACGTAATCGCTATTTTGCCGAAATGACAGCGTGGAATTGAAACGGTTTTTACATTATGAGAAACAATTTAGAAGGTGTTTCTTTTGGTTACAATCTTTAAAATATCAGCATTAGCAGCATTATTTATCTTGTTTTGGTAATTTTCAGTATTACATATATTTTTATTATATTAAATATTACGTAGAAAGTCGTGAAAAGGTTTTAAATTTATTAAAATGGGAAAATTGTCACGACTCACAACACGACATCAGTGTTGCCAATTCGATATTTTATTTTCGTCCCAAATCACATAGAATGTTGTATTAACTAGAGTAAATGTTTAATATAAAATTAGGGTTGATTATGATATTAATATAATTAAAAAACTATTTCAATGAATACGGTGCTCTGTGAACGGAATACAACGTTTATGATGCTCTGTGATTTGTTTAAAGTAAATAAATTTATTTGTTTAAAGTTTTTACAATTATGTACAAATTTAAAAAGATGTGCCCATATCATTCTAAATTTATATGGATACCTACGTACTTACCTAGGTATCTATAGCAGAAAAGAAAATATAATTTGTAGGTTAGATTAATATTATTAATGATTATAAATAGTTTGTATAAAATATGCTTTTATATTCAAAATTATTAACCTTATTTTTTCATTAGAATAGAATAGACTTTCTTTATTTTATTTTATTAAATGTCTATTAATAAAATTAAAATAAAAGAACAAGTGAACGCTGCAGTATATTTTGTAATTTTTGAACGCAATAAAAATTGTTTCAAAACAACCAATTAGTGTATTAACCCAATAATTTAAAATGTATCCCTCTAAAGGTATAAGCTATCTAATGTACTGACTTTTTAAATTGGTCGGATTAACAATATTCCGCTGCAACTTCATAGTAGTATTTTATCGATAGAAATGATTTATGTTGCGGTCATTCGACCTTACTTGATCGCATTTTTTAAATTGAAATGATTTTATATTGCATCACAACTTCAACAGAAACAATTTCATATCGTGTTACATAATTAGCCCACAGATCTAACAGAGGACTACTTAGTACTACAGTTAAATCGTTCATTATGTATTCCATACAGAAATCAGTCACTCATGTCTGTCACCGTACAATTACGTTCCATTTTACCAGAAAACTGAAAAGATCAAAAATAATATTAATTCAAAGAAAAATGTATAAACTAAAAATAAATTTATTTCTATTTATCTAGGTCTTCATTATAACTATTTCATTAATATATAATATTTATTAATGTACTATTAGGCTGAAAATCAGTTTTAAATTACAAGTAGGAGTCCTATACGGAGGAAAGGAACGGCGAGATATTTTTATTGGATCGTTCGAATGGTGACTATTTCAAAGTCAAATGAGTGAAAAAATAACAAATAACGTCTTTTATATATTTTTATTTTCGTAAAATTTGCTTTAAATATTTTTAGTTAATATATTTTTAATTTAGTTAAAATATTTTTCCAAAAACTACAACTTACAATAGAATTTTTAAAATGGAGTTTGTATTTTTGCATTTAGACCACTGTTAAACTAGGGGCATCGCAGGTGTAACTTTAGACCATAGACGAATCACGATTTAGAGATAAACTTCATTTTGTAATAAGGAATACATTGGTGAATAGTTTATTACTAGTGCTAAACCAGGTTTATCTTTTTGTAATAAGGCCGACTATGTTTAATTCGTTACAATTAATAGTTGGGGAGTACAGAGTTGTTTCATAACATTCGTTCACATTATCGTGACATGCGTAACTATTAGTAGCATTGAAATGTATATATTTTTTATATCATTGTTTCTAACCATGAATCAAGTCCTGTCGTAACAGAAAGCAATAATTTGTGTTGCTAGTTAAAATTCCAATTGTATGTAATTTATATGTAATTTTAGTTACTGTACTAATAAATAAAATATATCCCTCTATAACAAAATACTTAATAGCTTTTCGTAAACAGAGGTTACTAGATCTTTATCTAAATGTCTATCGTAACTTTCTGTAATATACCGTATTTATAGGAAAAGAATACCGTACTTTTTAGTTGTCGTAGACACGGTCATTGTCACAAAAACTTTTTTATCTGTGGAGAGTTGTAGAATGGAATGGAGATACATATTGGCCTGATGATGTGAATGAAATATATGTGATTGTGATTCATTGATCTTTCTTTGACATTTATATCCACCGATTATTAAAATTAATAATGTATTAAATTTTGACTATCCAATTAATGTGATAATTGTAACCCTATGTAGTTATTCAAATTGCAATTTACTTATTTGAATTAGTTAATACAATGTATTAACTATAACAGTATTGTGAAATGTTGTGATCAAGTGTGATTGATGTTTGTTTTACGCTAAGTGTTTTTTGTGTTGGGGTGGAAGTGCCTTTCCAGTTGTCACAAGATGCCTTTCAACTTCTTGTGCTGTGTGAGACCTGGAGTGGAGGAAGTGGTGGAATTAGATTATTCACATCAGTCACTAACAGACGTTCCATCAGATGTCTTTGTATACGAAAGGACCCTTGAAACCTTATATTGTCAAAGTAATCGTATCAGTGAGTTACCACGACAGCTTTTTATGTGTCATGGACTGAAACACTTGGACCTCAGCGACAATGAGCTACAAGCTATACCAACCGCCATATCTTCATTGGTAAATTTACAGTACTTGAATATTAGCAGAAATACATTAGCTTCTATACCCGATACCATGAAAGCATTAAAGTATTTAATGTACTTAGATCTTAGTGTTAATCCTTTAGAAAAACTTCCAGATGCTATTACAAACCTTATAGCTTTGCAAGAATTGTATCTGAATGATACATATTTGGAGTACCTGCCAGGAAACTTTGGTAGACTTGCAAGTCTGCGTATACTTGAATTGCGAGATAATTATTTAATGATTTTACCAAAATCTTTGTCACGATCTACAGACTTGTTAAGGTTAGATATAGGTCAAAATGAATTTCAACAGTTCCCAGAAGTTATTGGAAGATTTACTAAATTGAGAGAGTTGTGGATGGATAGTAATAGTTTAATGAACATACCAGCAGCAATAAAACCATTAGAAAATTTAATACACCTTGAAGCTAGCAATAATATGATAGAAGAAATTGCACCAGAAATTGGTTACTGCACAAAATTGGTGGATTTGAGTTTGTCAATTAACAGTTTAACCCAACTTCCAGATAGCATTGGGCAATTAAATAATTTAACCACTTTAAAATTAGATAACAACAGGTTGTATTCTATCCCAGAGAGTATAGGACAGTTAACTAATTTAGAAGAGCTTATGTTGATGTGCAACTATTTAGAAAAAATACCATCCTCAATAGGTCTCCTAAGGAAATTACAGTATCTTAATATCGATGATAATATGTTAAGAATGATTCCTCCAGAAATAGGGAGCTGTACAAAGTTATCTGTGTTGTCACTTCGAGCAAATAAACTAACTAAGATCCCTCCAGAAATTGGCCATTTATGCTCTTTAAGAGTTTTAAACTTAGTGAGAAATTCTCTAGGTTGTCTTCCTCAGTCCTTATTAAATTGTGATAATTTAGTAGCCCTCTGGCTGTCTGAAAATCAAAGTAAACCTTTAGTGCCTATGCATTCCGAAGTAGACCCACATACTTATGAACAGGTCCTTACATGTTTCCTCTTTCCCCAAGTGCCTTTGACGCCAATAGAGATGAAATCAACAGACAATGAATATAAATCAGAAAATGAAAATGCACAACCACCTGTTCGACATATTAGCTTTGTGGATATGAAAGCACTGCCAAAAGTCCCTGAAAAACCAGGACAGTTGCGAAGAGCACCAACACCTTATCCAAAGGAATTAAGAGCTTTAGCTAAGCATGCTAGAAATATCCATAAGGATGGTACACAAGATGTTTCTCCGCCTATGCAAAATGCAGTGCATATAAAAGCAGCTAAAATCACACCTACATTACAACAAAGATTTGCTTCAGATAACAAAAAAGATATAAGTAATGTTACAAAAGACAATATAGATGGAGTACCACAAGATGCTATGAAATTGTCAGTGTATGATAATATTCCCATAGAAAATTCTTATGATAAACCATTAGAACTCTCAAATGAGATAGATACAACTTACAAAGGTGTTGACCATGCTTTGTATCCAGAGAATAATGTTGGTCAAAATTCTGATTGTAAACATGAAAACTTAAACCACTACATGCTATCTCAGAGACATTACAATACAAAATTGAATGAAAACTATGCTTCTAGGCAAGATATGGATAGAACAGGGGTTCCTCAAAATATTTATGGTGTCCACACAGTTGAAAATAAAAATTATTCTGTTAATAATGACAATACTTTTAGGAACAATTTAGATGAAACTCATAGGCTACAACGACTAAGTCTTGTTTCACAGGACAGACGATCGAATAATGAAATGGTATTATCACCTAACTTTGAAGATACCTCATATAATACAAGAATAGTTGATAATATTCCTCAATTTGAACCTATGTATTCTAGAAAGGATCATATTATATCTCATCCTGTACCAGAGGGTAAATATAGAGATAAGATATATGACTCAGAAACATTTGCACGATCTAAAGAAAAAAATTTCAGCCAAAGAAATTATGATACCTACAATTACAATCCCCGTGGGAGCCGTGATTTAGCAGGTTCAAGAATACATACCATTAGTCAAGTTGTTAGTTCTACAACAATGCCTAATTTAAGTAACTACAATAACATGTATCCCATACAAGGCGTAGATGGCCCTCAATTTGCAACAGCCATCCATCAAACATCACCAAATGCGAACTTTTATAGTGGTGTAGCTTCAAGCCCTACTTATGTGTCTACACAGTCTCCTGAACTGTATTCCCCAACTGGCCACACAAATACGACAAATCCATATCGTATGACGAACACGCCTCTTGTATCAGATGATGGTAGTTATAGCCATATGAATTCCCCTACAAGTCAGAATATGTATGACTTGTATGATGCCATGCCAGCTCCATCCAGTACTCCAAGTGTTATTAGTCACCGCCATAGCCCCAGTGGCGTATCGGAACCTGTGTATGGACGCGGTCAACCTCCGCCTTACCATATTGCAGCTCCCTACACAAAACATGCACAATATTTTAATGGCACAACTGGATAGTGTCAGTGTATTAGAGGGAGACAAACATTCTTCCTACAAAGAGTAAAATCATATGAACACTATTAAATTTTAATTAAATATCTTGTCTGTTCTTTCTCATTCTATTTTGTTATATGCATGTTTTGTGAATGTGCAATTTATATGTGATATAATATAATAATGTTGGAAGAATAATGTAATTATAAGGTGCTAAGAAACAGATTAAATTGTTGGAGCAGTAAGCACATTGATTCTTAAGGAAAAAACTTTATAACAAATTCAGAGTTTAATATGTAAATAGTTTCAAAGGATATGTGGCAAATATTATATTAGAAAATAGAGTTGTAGGTACTGGTTGAGTACAACTTGTAACAACTATGTTGTTTCTTGATAATGTTGTAATAAATATAATGTTGATAAATAAGAGCACAGAATATAGATAGATATATATATTGTATGTAAGTAGGTACTTTATGTACATTTAATGACGCGGTACAACAGTCTATTTTAGAGTAGCCACGCTTCGTCAGACGACTGGCTATGGCGTAGAGCTAAGTATCATTCTAAAAGTTAAATGTCGTCAGCGAAGTGATGAAGACGATGATAAAATCTTAATTCTTTTTCGCTCTCACCTTCAGTTATGCCCACGTCACGCTTATAATGCAGCGATGAATTAGTTTATCAAATATCAAAGGTTTGTTTCAAAGTTACACAGGTATATATCTATTTTAACAATTTCGTAGCCATTAAGTATAAATCACAATAGTATACACAGTAGCATTACTACATCTGGTTATCAAAATAGTTAGTCCTTCAATTTAATAATACAATTAACATTTAGAGAGTTATTGGTAAACCAATACATTATCGTACGAATGCATGATTTAAATTAATTATTTTTTCTCTATCAATATCATATGCAAACACCGCATATGTGCCTACTATTAATGGCAAAAGCAAGAAACGATCCTCAAATATCACCAATTTGCGTAAGACATCCATTATATGTAATATCGTTTAATATTTAATTCCGTCTAATAACTAAGATTGATTATATTTACGTTAGAGCGTTACTTTTTCATGTTAAGATCGATTTAATGATCAAAAGCCTATTTCCACTCGTAGCAAAAAACAATAGGTATAAGAAACTGTAGCGTGAAAAGGGAATTGACCATTGTAATAATCAACTATTCTGTTTAATATTACTTTATTAAAAACATTTGCTTAGTCGGAAGTATGGAAATGGGCCTACAATTTATTAATTTATTTGTCTATATTTAAAAAGCGGATTCGAGAGTATTATTTACTTCTTTGGGAGTTGTTTTCGATTCGTTACGTTCAATGGAGCCTTTGCGTCACTAAGAACAAAATAATCTGCGTCACCAAATTGTAAGATATTTTTTGTATGATTGTAAGCCTACCAATTATTGTCAGTGTTTTTTTAGAAGTCAATTTTTGTGCTTGGTACATAGTAGTACCTACGTTATATCAAGACGGGCTTTGCTTTCTGTCATCAAAGGATCTAGTTTAATTGCCAGCCCTTAAAATATTGTACAGGTATGTATATATATATATATATATATTAGTTACTGATAGGTCTTATGCAGGTTATCTTGTAATCCTTTTTAGATTTCTTCTGTCACGTGCAATTGAAAACATTCATATTTCTAGAAAATCAGGCGTGTTTATCACTTAAGGAATAGATATATGTACTAAAATCACGAGATAGTCGTTGATATTGCTCACAATACTATTTATCGAATCATTCTTATTTACATATAGGTATAATACAATAAAATAAAAATACCTATTATTAGAATAAGTAAGCGAAAATGGCTCCATCCCTAACACTAAATTAAATAATATTGTAATCATTTAGGCATTATATAAACAATTTTTATTATTGAGGACAAATTGCACAGGTCAATTGACACTGTTCATGCACACACTGACTGGTTTTTTAAATACTTAAGTAGGTATATACTTTTTAAAACTTCATTCATAAGGCTGCAGGTATAAATTTAAAGTTACTCTGCTCTGCCAACATAGACATAGTTTTCACCGATTACAATAATGATTCATACTTTTGTATGTCAATTTTCGGGATTAGATAGATAATATTTCTGTTTTCAGACAGATTACCTCGTTGTTCTTTTCAAAAATTTCTAATTAAATCAGTCAGTCAGCTTGATAAGTTAGGGCAGACCAGATGGAACTTAAACTATTCAAGTTCCATCTGGTCTTCCTTAACTTATCAATTACATAACGTGAAGGTGATCACATAGGTAATGGTCTGCCTAAATAAAATACGGTAAAAGGCCTACCGCAGCCTAGGTAACTTCTCTTTCCCCATTATATGTTTAGAATAAAATTATACGATAATGTGCCATGGAAAGGAAATCACAAAAGCGAGCATCACGTTACTATAGCTCAACGCTGAATTAATAATGAAATACAAATACGATTTATTATTGTAATTAACGTTTATTTTTATTTCACGACTAATAAACTGTGATGAATGTATGCAGCTGTTTACATTTCATTGGTGTTGTACCTCCGTAATTATGCGAACAATTTACAATTAAAGTATTATAACCAATAAGTAATCTAGTCAGATCAAAACGCAATAAGAAATAATTGGAGTACTATTTAATATTAATAGACATATATTTTTAACATTGGGACCATTTTGTATCGTCAAAATTGTACTTTTTTTAAATTCCTAAAATTAAACATATTGTAAAACAACTGTACTTCAGTACTAATTGCATATGTGTATAAATTGTTAAGATGGAATGTAAGTGTTGAAAATTTTATGAACATTTTAATAATGATGTTGATATATTCAATGCCGTGTAGGTAAACATTATAAATATAGTATTTGATGTACGGTATATGTATGCATAGTCTGTTTTGATGAAGTTTAATAATAATTGTTTGTAAATATTAATATTGTAAGTATCTACTTCCAATAAAAACGTCTACTTACTCTATAACTACCTACCTACATGACTTTATACATAGATAGCGCTAAGTTAAGCTAATGCATTTTTATTTGCGAAACTTATTCCTTGGTTAATTTTGTACAAATGCACATTTATCCTTACAGGCATTTATTTTTATATTGTGTAGGTATTTACAATTTATTTGGAACCTTCCATCATTCCATGCGAATATGTTATTGAGCAAAAGCCAATTAGTAAGGATAGCGTGCCAAATTATCACAAATTGTAATTTAACTGTGAATTATTTTATTCTAATATTTATATTATATTACCAAAATGCTATACATTTTCTAAAGACTGAAACCTAAAACATATCATTTAACTGTATTTTCTTGTAACTATTGTATTTAATGTTTAATTTTATATTTTTGTAATTCTGTAATTTATTGAACAATACCTAATAATAATAATATTGTAATTTATTGTAAACAAATTATAACACTATTAATAAGATGTAAATAAATAAAAACTGAATGTTCACTCATATAACAACCACAATATGAATTGAGTTATATAAGCTTAAATTGTCTTGGAGAGTTTCTTATATGTTTTGTGTTTTAATAAACCTATTATAAAATTATTAACAAATTATTAATATTATATTATATAAAGTTTTAGTATGTTTAATAATTATATGTGATAATATTTGTACTGTAACTTAATTGTACCTATGTAAATCCTAATAGGTTTGATTAAAAATATGCAGCTTTATCTTTTTTTAGCAAATACCTTTATATCTTTCGTAATAAAATCGTAACTATATTTTACAAACACTTCGATTTTTTTAGTGCCATTGACATTTTGTTTAGTAGTTTAATTACTAATTAATTTAGTGTGATAGGTCTGACTACAGGTTATAATTTCAATTATTAATTGAAAGTAGGTAGGTACTTATTAATCGGGAATTAGATGAAAATGCGCATTTCCTGGAATTACCTAGTATATATATTGAATACTGTGCTAATTAATAGCATTAACTTTGTCTAAAATGTAACAATAAGTTATTATACGCAAATAACGACCTATATGTCTACGAAATCATGTAGCAAAAGTATGTAAGTACATTCGACTACATTAGTATATAATTTACTAACAATAGACATATACAACACTAGTACCACAATTTGCATGGAAAATAAAACTTGAGTGTTGTCACTACTAAACTATTTTCTTCACATTTATGATACAGGGATTATCTATATATAGTAAAACATCTTCTAGATTAAAATACCATTTGCTAATTATATTTTCACATGAATGTGAATACCTAATTTATATTTTTATATGTAACTCGAAATCATAACAGTTTTAATACGAACATAATAAACGTAAAGTATACCTACATAGGTAGGTGAAATTGCAACATGATGTAGAATCGTAACAATGATGATATGAATATTCTCGTAGGGGGTACAAATATTAGAATATTTATGATTACTATGGGATTAAAGCTTAGCCACAGTTGTATGATAATAATGATAACTATATTTGCAACATGTTCCAATTTTAAATATGGCAGTAGAATAAACACTCCTTTGTCTAATCCGAGACTTGAAACCAAGAAGAATTGTATAATGGTTATTTGTTATTTACACATTTACAAATATTATTAATACTTTATAAAATAATAATTTCAAGGAGTCAACTGCATCTACGCAAACATTTATAGTCTCGTTACATTTTATTCAAAGTTAAGTAGAAATAATAATTAAGTATTTTTTAATTTCAAATTAAAAGATAAATATTATTTAACACTAAACAGGGCCTAACCATACTCGCTGTCTAAATTAACAGGGACAATATAATGTACCTATACCTGTAATAAAACTATTTTAGTACCTTACAATTTGCTTATTTATTGGTACTTAATGATTTTGTTAATTAAATAAATAATGTGTGACTTATGAATTAATGTTTTATATTTTTTTTATCTACTTATGACTATACTTATGCAATGTAGAGTAGGATTTCAATAAAATGTTGAAATTAACTTTGGGTTCTTTTATTTTCCACGAACCACGCAACAAGTAGGGGAGGGTGGGGCAAGACGGGGTAGCGAGGTAAGACGGGGTACCCCCCTTACAGAGAAAACCAAATGAACCTCAGTCAAAACAATAATACCAGTAATTAGCTATTACTTGATCCCCTCGGTCGCCTAAGAACCACCGCAGTGAGACGTCGCGTTTAGATGTTTGAGCGAAAAAACTAGTTTTGACCAGTTTACTTATTATTTTCAATTGTTGTTAACTAGATAAAAAAAATATTAAATTGATGAGTGGTTACTGTTATTGCTATTTTTTTTTGGAAGAGTAAAAAAGCATAAAGTAAGATTAGAATATTTCGACCGCTTAAATTTATTATTCCTATTTTTTATTATTTTTTTATAAAATTAATATCCGAAGGTCCGTCCGAGTCTAATTTTGTATTTTTGAAGAATGGGACGGACCTACGTGCGGAATACCAGTCGGGTGAGTTGGTCAGAGCAGGCAAATGGCACCCCGAAATTTCAATTAGAAAACCGGAGAACACTTTAGCGGCAAGAGCTGCAGGACTTAATAAAATAGCTGTAGATAGATGTTTAATTTGTTAGGCTGAACCCTCGACCTCAAGAAAATTTCTCCTGACAGAATATATAACACAGACGAGACTACGGTATCCATCGTTCCTAAAAGTAAATATAAAATTATCGCCAGAACAGGGAATAAGCAAGTTGAATCTTTATCTTCAGCCAAAAAGGGAAGCTACTATCGCTGTAGTGTTTAGTTTTAGTGCATTTGGGTAC